TGTCATATTACTAATGAGTGTGAGCATTTTGCAGTAAGGGATGGGTTGGTTGCTGGCTAGACTAGTCATACGATCTAAAAAGGGCACAAAACCATGACCCAACTTCCATTTACACTGAATCACAAAATTTTACTCTTCACAAAATTCAGAAAATCTTACTGTTCACCCAAGCAGAGACAGAAGAATCAAAGAAATGAGTCTATCTCATCTGAACTCCCAATCCTCGCACCAACTCTTTTTATAACACTGTAGACAGCATCCAGCCTCTGCTTGAAAATTCACTCTCGCTTAGTACTGAAATGACCTTTCTTTACATTCTACCCATTGGTCCACCCACCACTTCCTCCTGGACCCAAGCCCCTCCTTCTTGTGAAAGCCCACCAAGTACTTGAAGGAAACAATTGTGGTCATAAACCTCTTCCCTTCCAACTCTCTTACTTTGTAGATAAGGGCGCTGAGGCCTAGAAAAGCATCTGTGCATATACACATGCACACACACACAGTTGTCTATTTCCTATTCATTCATTTTTCCATGGATTTGCTTGTGGCTTCTGCAATTAAATACATGCTGTTAAAACCAGAACTATTAAGGCCTTACAGCTTATCCAGTCTGAGGCCCTCACACTTTATAGCCCTTAACTGCTCCCAGAGCAGGGAGAAAGGCCCTCCCTGACAGGGCCAGGCAGGGAAGCCTCATTCAGGTTTTAGCCACCTCTTTTCAAATATTAATTTGCTCTCTTTAGCTCTGTCAACAAAAATAGCTTTCTTCACGTGTGAAAATGTGAAAGTTTTTCTTACATGCTAATGTCCTACGTAAATGTCAGGCACCATTATTCTGATTACCGAGGCATGTGCTGACAGGAAAGCACTAAAGAGACGGCGTTCCAGTCACAGAGAACAATCTGCAAAGGCCTCCTCTCAGGGTAAGTACTCTTTGTCCCACGAGCCAACTAAGGATGCCGACATTTAGAAAAACCCTAATAACCAGCCTCCAGAACTCCATTCACAGGCAAAAGTGAACTACGAGCACCTGCTAAATCCCAAGTTCTGGGACATGACGCGAGCAGCACCTCAAGGGACTTAGGCTGCCATCGGTGGTGACAACCACGCGAACAGCTAAGTTTTATCAAGTGACTCAGGGGCTGTGAGAGAACACGTGATTGAGGATGGGGGTGGGGAGGTTTCAGGTGAAGATCCACAGAGCAGGCAAAGCTGAGTTTTTGAGTTAAGCCTTAAAAGATGAATGGTGGTCACACCATGTGGACGATGGACTGCAGAGCTAATTCCAGGCGGAGCACGCAGCGCAGGTAGAAACAGGCTGGTGTTAAACGATCTTCCCAGATGTCTACCATAAGAGCAACAGTGTCAGTGTGAAACAGCTTGCAGAAACCGGTTGCAGTGGGTTAAACAGTGCCTCCCAAAACCCACGTCTACCCAGAACCTTAGAATGTGACCTTATAGAGTATTTGCAGATGTAATTACAATAGATTAAGATAAGGTCATACTGGTTTCTTCATAAGAAGAAAAGTGGACACAGAGAGACACACAGAGAAGAACACCACGTGACGAAGGGGCAGAGATGGGAGGGATGCAGCTGCAAGCCAAGGATTGTGGGCAAGCACCAGAAGCTAGGAAGAGAAGGAAGGATTTTTCCCTGGAACCTTCAGAGGGAGCATGGCCCTGCCGACACCGAGACTTCAGACTACTAGCCTCCAAAACTGGCAGAGAAAACTCTTTTAAGGCACCTAGTTTGTGGTCTTTTGCTATAGCAGCCTTAGGAAACGAATACATTTGTATTCAGAGCAAGAAGGATGGTGGCAGGTAAAGGGCTAGGCCGGGCTGGATGAACAGCAAAGATGAGAGAGGGTGAGGGGAGAGGGCAAATGAGGGTGAGGAGGGAGAGTGTGCGGCAGAAAGGGAGTGTGTGGGTCGCAGAGAGCTGAGCTGCCAGTGAAGACCCAAAGGACAGCCAACAGTAAATGTCGCCTGGGGACCAAGGCCGCCCTGTCTCCTACTCTTCAAGGCATGCCTGCTCCGGTGGCTGCATTTTAGGCCTGAATCCAGGGTCTGTGAGAAAACTCTGAAATGCAGAACCGGAAATAAAGCTGATTCAGCTTTTTGTGAAAACTCCCAACCTGGGAGAGGTGGCTGACAGCCTCAGTTTTATCTGACTGACTTCTCCCCAGAAGAGTTGACAAGACTCCAAGCTGGACGTGCCAGTTTCACTGCTCCCTGGACTTGGAGATAAAGTGACTTCAGTCTGACAAAGAGTCAGGACCATTTGTTGCAATATTCATGTGAGTCCAAGAGATGCAAATATAATTAGCCCCTGAATGTCGTCGTCCCCGCCCCCGCTGAGAACTGGGCCCACGAGTGTTTATATCTCCTGGCCCTCCTGCCTTTTAATTAAAATGTTTGTCTTACAGCTGCATTTGGGGACGCAGCTTACACAGGTCTCACACAGATAACAGGCAATGATCACCTTGGAACTTGAGGACAGGGAGGGGGAAAAACTGGAATCAGCTTGTGCTTATTAACACAGGTCTGGGTTAGACTGCAGAAAGATCCTGGAGGAAGGCTGGATTTTCTGGAACTTTGTCACAATAGAGCAGGAGGGACACACATTGCTGCTTGAGGTCTTGAGATGTGAGGCAGACTGCCCATCCTGAGAGGGGCACAGATCCGTGCTGCTTTCCTGCTGCCGAGCCTGTGGAGGCCCTTCTCCTGGCTATGTGGATTCCCGGGTGACCCCGGCCTGCTGGCTCCTCAGCGACCTGGAAGCTCCAGTGGTCAAGATCTTTGAATCAATATTCACGAGCTGGAAAGTGTCCCTGGCCTAGGCGTTGAATACTGGGCCGTAGACAAGCCTTGCAGGGTATCCCCATTGAAAGACGGCAAACTGCCACTGGAAGCAGGGACATCTACCCTGCTCACTTGAAGGAGGGAGAAGTAGCAGGGTTTGGTCATCATGAATGGCCTTCAGAGTGAGGGCTCAGGGAGCACCCAGAGCACTTCTCCACACCCTCCGCTATCCTCACTGGAAGTCTCTGATGATAAAGTATCATTCTGGAAGATGCCCTCTCTAATAGCACAAGTAACACCCCACCGAGAGTGTGCCCAGAGGAGACTGCTCCGTCAACACTGGGAAGAGGCTGTGAGGACTACATGCAAATGCCTGGTTCTTCTGGTCTCAGGAACTAAACAACAAAAAGCCGTCATACATGTTATCCTTCTTGGCTGTAATGTCAAGACCTACCGGGCGGTTCTGAGTGTGGTGAGAGCCCTGATAGGACAGACTCCCTCTGAGCGGATGATCCAGTCACGGCTGGCTGTCCGTCGGGCTGCCTTTCCCACAGCAGAGACATGCTGGCAGGCCTCTCACACTAGGGGACCTATGAAACATGCTCTCCCTCAAGTGACAGTTTGGCTATTGTCACAGTCGGCAGATAGAGCTCACAGCCCTGCTTCCCAGCCAGGCACAGACCCTACCATACTGCCACCTCCCTGTACCGTCCAACCTGGGCGCACCTGCCCTGCCTGGGATGGGAATTCAGCTTTCAACACTTTAAACTACTGTGCTGACTCACACCAGATAAACATCAAAGACGACGCCCGCTTAGGGTTCTCTAAGAAGGAGATTTAGATCCAGACTAAGAGCACCTCCGGACCCTCCCAGGATGCTCACCTGGCCTTCTATCCCGCGTCACATTCCTCAACACAGGTGCCTCTGGCCTCGGGAAGAACTACAGGAGCACACACTGAAAAGTCTGGAGACTGAGAGTGACCGGCCTGGCCAACCGGACCTCTGCTCGCAGACTGAGCCAGGCCAGACACAGGCAGAGCCGGGCAGTGGCTTGGCAGGGCAGGGAAAGCAGGCCCCTGTCCATTTGCCTTCTTGAGTGTTAGCACCTTACGTGCACAATACCAAATCACACCCATCAGTCTGTGGGTGAGTGAGTAGAACGCCAGGCCCTGCCTGCAGTGTGAGTCCTCAGGAAATTGAGCAGCACGGCTGGGGCCCTGCAGGAAGCCCATCGAAACCAGCTTTATGTCCATCCACGGGCTCCTTCCCACTCAGCAGCCGCGCCTGTGAGGGGTGACTCCTCTGGGCCTCGGAGCGAGGCTTGTGGGCAGACGCCAGGCAAGGGAAGCCTTCCCAGCTGTGGCTGCTGCCAGCCGGCAGCTGTGCAAACACAGGGCTGCAGCGTCCCGCACCTTACACTCTCATTAAAGCCACTTTTGCCAGGCCCCACTAGGCCAAACCACAAACGGCAGCTCCGAGCCCACCTTCGAAATTTCCCCACAGCAAAGCCGAGTCTGAGCGAAAACCTTCACACTCCACGTTTTAGCTCTTATTCACTTCTGTCCTTTGCTTTTTTAGGGAGTGGGGCTGAAGACTGGCAAATATCTTTACTGAAAAGCAGTTGAACAAAACATACATTTCTAAAAACGAAATTGTGCACGAAACCACGATCGTAAATAACGCGAACCAAAACCTCTGGTGGTCATTTAAAATCACCCCCCAACTTCACAGCCGAGGGCACTGGGCCGTCCTGAGACGGTTGGTGTTTAGTCTTGAATGTGAGAGGGAGGGGCCACAGCCCGGGGTGACAGTTGGATCTGATCAGCAGTGTAATCACCAGCTTGGACACTAGTTGACCCAGAATCACAGACATAAGATTTAAGGGGAGCTGGACACATCCTGGAATTACTGGAGTAGCCGTAACTTCCCCAAGAGACTCCCCTTTCTCACTTCTAACTAGAAAAACAAGTGCAATCGGGAGAAGCAAGGCCCCACTCAAGCTGGGAGGATGCAGGCGTGGGCTGGAGAAGGGATAATATGAGCTCTGTTTCACCAGGGACCAGCTATGCTCATTGAAGCCTGTGGTTTCCTGGGGCTTTGCGGTCAAAAGTCACCAGTGTGCATAATGTTCCTGTCTTAGCTTGGGCTGCCATAACAAAATACTATAGGCTGAGAGGCATACACAACAGAAACTTACTTTCTTATCGTTCTGGAGACTAGAAGTCCAAGATCAAGGTTTGGCCGATTCGGTTTCTGGTGAGGGCTCTCTTCCTGGCTTGCAGAGGGCCGCCTTCTCACTATATCCACACATGGCCTTTCCTCAGTCCTTGTGCACAGGAGAGAGAGACAGAGAGTGCACGCAAGTTCTCTGGTGTCTCTTCTTAGAAGGACACTAATCTCATCAGATCTATGAGTTCATTACCCTTTAGAGACCCATCTCCAAATACAGCCACAGAGGGGTTTAGAGCTCCAATCTATGAATTTTGAGTGATGCAATTCAGTCCCTAAATTCCATCCTGGCTCCCCAAAATTCATAACCTTCTCATGTGCAAAATACATTGAGTCCATCCCAATAGCCCCAAAAGTCTTAACTCACTCCAGCATCAACTCTAAGTCTCAAGCCCAAAGTCTCACCTAAATATCATCTAAATCAGATAAAGGTGAGACTCAAGGTGCAATTCCTCTCTAGCTGTGAATATGTGAAAAGAGACAACTGATGTACTTCCAAAAGGCCATGGTGGATCAGGCGTAGAAGAGACATTTCCATTCCAAAAGGGAGAAATTGGAAAGAAGAAAAAGGTGATGGGTCCCAAGCAAGTCCAAAACCTAGCAAGGCAAATTCCATTAGATCTTGACGCTTAAGAATAATCCTCTTTGGTTCAATGCATTGGCCTCAAGGCCCACTGGGGTGGCAGCATCATCTCCCTAGGGCTCTGCAGGGTGGCCCTGCTCAAGCAGCTCTCTTCAGTGGCCACCTGCCCACTGAAACAGAGGTAGAGGGCATCCTCTGAAACCACTGAGGAAGCAGCCTTGTCTCCTGGGCCTCTGGTGGGAGTGGCAGCCCTGAGGCTCTCTGAACCACCTTTGGAGTTGTGCTTCCCTTTTCTTGAAGGACAATGAAAATTCACAGCCTTCCTTCATTCCACCCTACCTTCTCTGCTTCCTTTAGTCTCAGCTGACAGTGTTTCTACTGGTATAATTCCATCTTTATTTCTGGCTTGTGCTGAGATGGCTGCTTAAATCCATGGTTCATACCCATACTAATCTCCTCATCAATGCTTGTTCAGCCACACCCATGGTGTTCTCTTCAGTACGTGTTTCCACGTGTTTTGCAATGTGGATAGGCTGAGAATTTTCCAAGTCTTCAAGTTTGGATTCCTTTCTGCTTAAAAATTCCTTCTTCAATTCATCTCTCTCCTCTCACCTTCTACTATAAGCAGTTAAGGAGGACCCAAAAGGAGGACCCAAGCTCCACCTTCAATACTTTGTTTAGAAATCTCCTCAGCTAAATATCCAATTTCAGCACTTGTAAGTTCTGCCTTCCCCCAAACACTAGAAGATGAACCCAATTCAGCCAAGTTCTTTGTCACTTTATAAAAGGATCACCTTTTCTCCATTGTCAAATAACACATTCCTCATTTCCACCTATAAATTTTGGGGGGAACACATTCAGTCCAAACAGTTCAACACGACAGTGCTACAATCATGCATAGTCATACACTTCCACTGTTCGAAAGGCAATCCCAGAATCATTTCTTCTAAACCACAGGTGGTTCTGTGATCAATAACCAGACCTTTGATAAAAACGTCCATGGTCAACGCCAATTTATAAGATACTCTAAGTCTCAGTGAATGAAGCATGCTTAGAAACCCAAATAGTTAAAGCCTGCTGGCTGAATTAAGTACAAAGGAGCTTCAGCAAAATGAATATGCTACAGAATGGGTCACTGTGAAAAGACAAGTTTCCCAGAGGGCTGGGACGAGTTCTATCTGCTTCTGTGGTCTCTCTCTCCTTGCTGATGACTATCAGCTATCACTTTTCATTGATGCTCATGTGCCTCCTTACAGCAGCTCTTCCCCCACTTGAAATTTGTTACTTCTGGACTTTTTGAGGTATAAAAATCAATAATTAAATTCATTAGAACACTATGTAAAGTAAGAATAAGCATACTCTGAGAATGAGAGCCTGAAGTTGTGGGCGTCTGTGACATTGTGGACCCCAGTGAACCTGCCCTCGCAGTGTTCCCCACCTTGTGCTGTCCTCTCTCCTTAAGTCTGGGCTGGAGAATGCAGTGGAAGTAGTACTGGGCCAGTTCCCACTGTAAGCCTTAAAAGGCCTGGAAGCTTCTGCTGCTGTGTTCTTGGGAGCCCTGAGAAGTCGTCTAGCTCCCCTAACAAGGAAACTACTCTCCCAGATGAGGAGAGAACCACAAAATACAGGTAAGAGGGAGAAGCTGAGGCACCACTAACTCACCACGCGACTACAATCACACGCAGACCCCTGGCCAGACCAGCAACAGAACCTCCCAGCTGAGCCCAGCCCACAGAACTGTGAGCAATCATCATCAAATGATACAATGCTCTTCCAAGCTACTAAGTTTTGAGGTGGTTTTATACAGCATACAGCAATAGATAAAAGAGGTCTTCTTTGGGACATGTGACATATAGAAAGTTAAAAAGATTAGACATGACAAAGGCTGATACCTACTGACTGCTGTGGTTATAAGGCCCAGGCTCTGCTTGCTGCCTGACGGAATAAAAGACCTAATAGGTACAGGAATGGCTGAAGAGTGCAAGCCAGCCACCTCTGACGAGCCTCTTCATTCCTGAAGCCATGAGTTAAATGAAACAGGAGAAGGTATACAAAAATAGCTAGCACCCAGCCTGGCACATGGTAGGCACTCAAAAAACGCTTATGAGTTCATTCATGTGTTCATAAGGCAGGGACGTGAATGCGAACACATCTATTCAGAGGCACTATAGTGAAACAGTTAAGATCATTCTGGAACCAGACAGCCCGGCCTCAAACCCTGACTCCCACAATCACAAACTGTGGTTGTAGACAATCTACTTAACACTTCTCTGTCTGTTTCCCCATCTGAAGATGAGGATAACAGTACCTACCCTCACAGGACTGCTGTGAAGGTTAAATGAGTCATATGTTAAGAGCTCAGAAGGTGCCTGGCACCTGGGAAGGACTGGGTAATGGTTGATTGTGAAGGCTTTCATGGTGTCTGTCCTACATCTCAGACTCAGGCAGGCAATTACTGTAGCTTCTATGCTCCAACAGTCACAGTATTTACCTTTAAAGATTTCAAAACTGAGAAATTATTAATTAGAATAATTAAATATCACTTTTAGTCCCTTCTCTCTTTTCTTCTGAGTTTCTCCCCCAAATACAGTCAGATCAAAACTCACCAGTCTTTGGTGCAATCCTGGAAAAGTTAGCATTCATTGTGAGAATGGGGCCACAAAAAGTGACAAGTGAGGTGAGTGTAGAGAATTACAACTCAAATGTGCCGAGACTCCAGGATGCTGTAGGGAGCACAGGGCCTGGGGTTGTGACGCGCAGGAAGGCACTGGTTCCTCGTGGCCTTGAGCAGGTTCCTTAACCTGTGGTTCAGGGCCCTCAACCCCAAAGGGGTGGCACCTGCCCCACCCAACAGGGCAGTGAGGAGGAGAAAATGAAACAGTGGAAAAGCCCTTGGCAATCCCTAAGGCAAGGGGCAAAGGTCAGGAAGTATCTTAATCTTATGGGGTCTCACTTTCAACAATGAGCTTTGCTAAAAGTTTTCAAATGAGCCCCAAACCCCATTCCAGCCAACAAGGAGGACCACTGCAAGTACCTTTTATGAGAGCTAACAGAAGCATATTTTCTTTGAGAAGCTAAAGAACAGACATTCTTTTGACAACTCTCAAAAATAGCTCAGTTGATTGAGTAAAATCATCTTTGAGAACAAAGCACAAAAAGAGCTCGCCATCGCTCTGCAGTGAAACCCAATAGGTCGCTGCTCCAGAGAAGGCTTCACAGAGAGGGAGGGGGAAGGCAATGGCCTGATTCCGTTGGGTCTGATGAGGACCTGCTGTTCTCATCCCCGGACTTGCTCTTTGTCTCTTCTCATTCCCCCTTCCCTCCTGTCTGCTTCTACACTTTACAAAAGGGCTTAGAAGTTATATTTCTGGCCCAGTGATTCTTCCAGCACTGCTGGGTTTAGACCAGATTTAGCGCAAGGATCGGCGGGTGACTGAGCCCACACAGCGCCAGCAGGCAGAGATGCCAGCCTGCTCCAGCTCACGCAGACTGGCTGTCACATGGCAGCCGGCCCTGCCTGAGGGCTCCATTTGTGAGTACAGACATCTCTGCTTTCCCAGCCATCTTTCTACTCCATAACCAGGGTCTCCTGTGAGGGACAAAAGCGGCCTTATTGAAGGCAGGGAGAGGAGGAAAACAAAGATCCCTCAAGAGGAGCCGAAAGGAAGACACCAGGACCACCACACCCCCCCAGGGATGCTGGAAATGTGCACCCTTTGGTCTCCCTGGGAAGCTGAGGTTAGCGGCTTCAGGGTTAGCAAGTAAAGACTGGGCAGTTGTTGGTCATGGTGAGGACGACCATGGGAGGTTTACAGCAAGCCTGTGGGTCATACATGCAACCTGTCCTGCCTCTCCCACCAGGTCTGCCCCTGGCCGGCAGAGTGATGAGGTGAGGTACCAGGGCTGCCACCAATTTTCTCAACATCCACAAGCATCCTGTCCTGGGGCAGTTCTGTTTGTCCCCTCCACACCCCTACACTGATCCAGTATTAGAGGGAGGCGCAGGTGGTTGCCCCACCACCCTGGACATCCTCCCCTTTCCCACCCTCACAGGCGGGACACAAACCAACAGGGCTGAGGCCACAACACAAAATCGTAGCGGGCCTCACTGCTGGCCGGTGTCGTGGGTACTCCTTTTACAGAGTCCCAAACATCACTCATCTCTACTGTGACCAGAGCTGGATTTCCCTCCACCCCTTAACCTTCAGCAAAGCCTGTCCTGTCCTGAGAGACTGTTGCCCGCTGGGCTTTATCACCACCACTGTCTGACACTCCCCCGTCCTCCTGTGTTCCCAACGCCCGTAGCCAGGCCTGTGTCAGCAACGGTCCACCACACAGCGGTGCGCTGGGCTCTCCCCAAGGGCCCGTGAGCTCCACTAGCTCCAGAACAGCGCTTTGAAGGCAGCCATCCTTGTGTCTCTGGAGCCCCTGTTCTGGGCTCTGCACATAGCAGATAATACGAGTCTGCTGGTCATTCTCCAACGGCACATGTGGGGAAAGAAGGCCGTCTGAGATGAACAAACAGCAGTGATGGACTCACCTTTAGAGCCCTGCAGCTACCTGCCAAGGGCCCAAAACACTTAATTTTGCTGCGCAGAGCACACGAATCAGAAACTGATTCCCTCCAAGGGTCGGTCAGGGGAGCAGCTGCCTTGAATGCTAAACCACTGTGTCCTCGGGCAGTACAAGCTAAGCCAGGAGAATGAAAGAGGGTACATGCTAAGACTGAGATGGTTTGGCAGCATGACCCGGCTCCAAACCGGGGTCGGGCCAGCTCCCTGGGCCCCAGCCAAAAATATACAAAGACCATTGTTCTGACAGCCACTAAGGTGCCCTTGCGATCCTGGGTGCTTTGCCAGCTACGATTACCATGGCAGTAACAGCCACCATTAACTCAGAGCTCAGCACATGCCAAGCAGGTTACACACAGGGACATGTAGTGCCTGGAGGCAGGAGAGCCCAACGAGAGGGCAAAGTCAGACATCCCAGGCTATTCACGCGCCCGGTACTCCTGAATACCAACCATGTGGCAGGCTCCAGGCCAGGCACGGAGGAGGGAGACACAGTCCCTGTCCTCGGGAGTTCAGTTTGTAGAAGAAAACAGACAGAAAAACAGGCTACTAAACACAAAGTAAGAGATACCATAATGGCAGCATTAAGTCAGGCCCGGCTTCACGCCATGTGGGTGAACCTAAATGAGGCTAGCAATATTATTCTGTACAAATTACTCAAATCTCCTAAACCCCAATTCCCTCTTCTGTAATGTAGAGGTTAATAATACCTCCATCAAAAAGTTCTGTGAAGACTAAACCTGAAAATCTATACAAAGTGCTTACCTCAGAATAAATAAATGATTATCACCCTCTTAGTTAACCACAAAATAATTAGATTTTATACACAGATGTAGAGCGTGACATCTCCACATATTTCTAACTTTATCTCTTGCACACATTTTCAAAACACTCCACCCATTTAAGTTTGGAGTCTCTAAACTGTACTTAATTCTTTCCTGGTGAGTTTCTAGGGCGACCATGTAATTTATTGCCCAAACCAGGACATTTCTCAGAGTGAAAAAAGGGAACAATTCCTAATTCCACTGGGACAAGATAGGCAAACCAGATGTACCATTTCGGGCAAAATGGAACGACTGATCACTATGTCCATCGTTTACAGGCTGATTCAGGGCAAGGTCAGCAGCCATCACCATGCACCTTTTCTCCATCACTTTTGGGAGCTGCCAACAACTTTGAAGCAGGCCCAACAAAATCACACCCTGGATGAGAGCCAGCAACTGCACCAGGCCATCCAGAAGTCAGGGGAGTCCATGGACATGAACACCCCGCACCACACACACACACCCCCGCCTCCCCAAACATGAAGAAAAGAGTCAGACCCTGGTCCTGGCTCTTGGCACCTGTCATCACCCCTCACCTGCTGAAGGCCAGCTGTCTCCTAGCAAGGTATCAGTAGTCCTTCCTGCCCCTGAATGCCCCCCCTTACCTCAGGTGTCCCAAGCTGTAGAAACGGGACTCGCCGTCGGTGGAGCGGACCACCTGCAGTGTGAACATGGGCTGCAGCTGCCTGAGCTCCAGCAGGACGATGGCCAGGTAATGGATGAAGAGGAGGGCGTCCACGAGGGAGACTGCGTATTGCACAATGCCCTGGTAATTTCGGTCCCGAGAGTCCAAAATGCGGACCCCATAAAAAAGCCAATAGGAAACCACAAAAAGAAAGATGAGGACCAACAAAAGGGCACGGAACACAAATACTCGCGGCACATCAGCCCTTTGCTTGCGGAAAAAAAGTGCCCAGGTCCCGATGAGCAGAATGAGGAGTTTGAATGCCACAGAAATAAAGAGTCCCTCACAAATCGTGCCACAAGGCTCCAGCTCATCCCTCCACAGGATGGGGGGTAACAGGATGAAAGCAATGGGGGTGAGGAAAACTAGAAGTCCAAGAACCGAGGCGATGGTGAGGCCCAGGTAGCGCTTGCAGTCCAGTCCCACGCTGTCCTCCATGTCCTTGCTGATCCTGGCAATGTCCTCCTGGGATATACTGTGCTCTGAGGTGCCTGTGATGGCCGTGGTGGTCTCTCCCCAGTTGTCATCCTGATGGGGAGGAAACAATGAGGATGAAGACCCAACAGAGGAGGTCATTTGTACAAGTCACAAAGCAAGTGCTTGGAGACATGGTGGACACGGAGGGGTCACCTCACTGAACCAACCCAACCACATGGGCTTCATAGAAAATGGAAGCTTAACCCTTTAAATACAGGAATTTGTTTAACTTTAACAATTTTCATTGAAATTTTTCAAAATGTATTACACATTTACCCTTTCAAACAGAGAAAACATAGTTTAACCTTTTTGTGTGGTTTCTTTGGGTGACTCATTGCTACAACATCGATTATCATCTGCTGTACTGGAATCGCCCAAGAGGCCCGGAGGGGCTGGGGTTGCCTGGCCCGAGATAAACCCTCCCCTCATTAGACTAACATGTGGGCGCTCACCTGTGACATAAGAAGCGCACCCTCTGCATCTTCTCAATTCATGGCTGGGTTATAAAGGCTTGCAGAGTCCAACTTCAGCAAGTGGGGAGTATTATTACTACACCCTCCAGCTGCTCCAAAGAGCGCAAAGCACCGCGGGGGAGCGTACAGTGCTATGTACCGATCAGAGCTTACCTGCAGCCAGTGCCCACTTTCTTTTAAATCTCCATGATGTTTTCAAGACCCATTTAATAAGTATCAGCGTCGACATTTCTCATTGAGCAAGCTAAGCAAATTCAAGTATCTATGGCCAGGACAGCTCAAAAATCCCTCACCAAACACACATTCTCATAACAAACTGAACATCAAGGTCAGAGAAATACCAACAGTATTATAATGTGTCTCTCTTTCACTTTCTTGCTTTCTCTTTTTAAACTCTGAGGTAGTTTCCAGTTGGAGGAATTAGTCTCTTCATTTAACAAGATCCAGTTGTTCGGATTTTAAACTATTTTGCTATGTCTCTGGCAACTGTGACTCCATTCCAGAGCAACAAAAGAGCACGAAGGCAATGAAGAGCCACACAGGCTCCAAAGAGGTTTTGCCTCCGAGATTTCTGCAAACGATTTAACTTGGAAAAACAGTCAGGCATAGGGGAAAGGTGGGTGAAATTAACGTGTAAGACACCAACTAAGAAAAATCTAGTTTAAGTTAATAGCTGAATCAGCAAGATAGAGATCTCATAACCAAACAAGAACCTTAACTACGGTAAGGACCAAAAAAATATGACTTATGAAATGTATAGGTGATGGCAAGGAGGGGTGGTGGTGGCGAAAGTCTCGACCTACGAACAAATGGTTTGTCAACTTGCAAAGTTACAAGTTCACATACAAGGAGAGAAATTACTATTTAAGACAACAGCCAAGAGCAACCAGGACTCAAACACCACTGGGAGAAATAGAAAATGGTATAATCACTCTTGAAAACTGCTCTAGCAGTTTCATATAAATTTAAATATACGCTTAACTTTATGGCCCAGCAATTTTACTCTCAAGTTTTTATCCAAAATAAATGAAAACATATGTCCACAAAAAGACTTGTTCAAGACTGTTCTTAATAGCTTTACTCATAATAGCCAAAAACAGTGCAACCCAAATGTGTGTCCAACAGGAGAATGGATAACAAACTGTGGTATACTCATACCATAGAATACTACTCAGCAAAAATTTTTAAAAAATGAATTACTGAAACACATCAAACATGGATAAATCTCAAAATCATGCTGAGTGAAAAAAAGTCCAAAATAAAAGAATATGATTCCAATTATATTAAATTCTAAGGCAGGCTAAACTAATCTATAGTGACAGAAATCAAAACAGGGCTTGCCTTGGAGGTGTGGCGTGGGGGGAGGGACAGACTGAGAAGGGCATGAGGGAATATTCTAGAGCAAAAGAAACATATATCTTGACCTTAGTGTGCATTACATGGGTTTATTCAACTGTTAAAACTGTACACTTAATATCTGTTCATTTCTCTGTGTGTAAATTGACCTCAGTTTTTAAAAAAGGAAAAAATCATCAGCAAGAGAAAAAATAGCCACAAACTCAGAGATGAACAACTTGCTTTAATAGAAGGTGAGCTGACAGGCTAAGTAAACTACTTTGTAACACTCTGAGTGAAGGTAAATACTGGATTCCATGTTTCGTACTGGGCCCAATATTCAGTTGACCCTCAATCCTGAAATAATTATCACTAGTATTGTGGTAGTGTTTGTTGACCACCACACCACTCTGACTTAGCTACTCACTCTTTGTCCTGCCAAAGAGTTGCTAACTAAATCCCCTAACCATTTGAAGAATGTGTGCACATCTGTGCCTAAAAAATGTAGATGTCCAAAGGGTCCTCTAAGCTTGAGGTTCTTAGAATAGAAAGGATCTAAGATCTTCTAATCCAATCCTCTAGATTTTCAGTGAAGAAACCGAGCCCCACAAAGTTTGTGACTTCCCAAGGTCACATAGCCACTGAGAAGGACAGCTTCCAAATGCCCATTTCAATGCTTTTTCCCATCACATCATCCTGGTGTAAATACCAACAGCTTCCCAATGTAGCTTCCCACTGAGCTGCAAGATGTAGAGAAGATGCAAAGAAATGCCTTCACAGTGGGCCACCAGCACCTCTGAATCCACATCTAGGAGGAAACTGACCCCCTGCAGCATTTAAAGACAGTCCAGTCTTAGGATTGGCCCTATCCACCCAATCATCCAACCAGCCCTCCATCCCTCTGGCCGTCCCAGAGCCACATAAGGCAGTGCAACAGTGAGTACTGAAGACATCTACTCATCACTGGACAAAACCCACCTTCACCCCACAGCTGCGGCTTTGGGTTCCAAGAGCACCTTGTGGGCTCTAAGAAATTCCAATTTCAGTCCATCCATCTGCTTATAAACGCGTAAATGACACATGCTTATCTATAGTCCTATATATTTATAGCTATGTGTGCCTACATCGGTTTATTTGGAGCCAAGGCTGAACATGCATATTTCAAGAGCTGTGGAGGGTGTGCAAACATGTTTCTGACTATAGCTCAGATGTTTACTTAAGTCAGGTGGCCTGCCAGATAGTTAAGACCCAGAGAGAAGGACGTATAGAACGTTTTTAAAAAATTAATAAATTGCCAATATTTAAAAATTGGGTGGTTTCACATAAAATCCTAATTTCCAGCTTTTCTTAAATATTACAAGACCCAGGAACTTTGAATTCCTGCTTTCCTGAGTAGTAACGAGTGCCCAGAGCTGAGGAGCTCTGTTCCCTTGACCCCAGACCCCATCTCTAGTTTGCCCCAGACCCCATCACGCCATGCCCAGGCCCTGACACTGAGGCCGCACAGATTGCTACTCATCCCCAAGCTTGCCTGATATATTTTTGCCCCTTCTTTGTGACCCAGGCCCCACTTCATTCATTCATCTGTGTTTTCCTACCAGGCATCTAAGTGTGCAGCCCCTGGTTTATTTCTTGTACCTGACAGTGATGCTCACTACACGCTGCCCTAATGTCTTTGCTCTTCTTCCCAACATACTCAGGGTTTCTGGAGAGAAAGTTTCCTTCCCTCTCTCTTACTGTTTCACTTTGGAATGAGTCTCCAGAGACTCCAGCCTGTAACTTTTCCCTTCTCTGCCCTGTCGTCAGCCTTGCTGGCTTCTTTTCAGTTCAAAGCAGGCCAACCAATCACACTTCGGAAGAATCCCCAAGCTAGCCAATGGCAGGACAGGCTGTCCTTAGACCAACAAGAAACCACAGGACATAGATAAACTAATTAACATGCTAGAAAAATAAAGATAAAAACCCAAGAGAACCTATTGCAACAAGACTTAGGAAAACATTTACCAAAAAGAGTTGCGATTAAGTGGCAGTGTGCTTACAGACTGCCTTTGATCCTTACCTGAACTTCCTCCGTCCGAGTAGAATCATTTGACAACAGGGGCTCTCCAGTGGGAGCCTGAATGGTGACAGATTTTTCTGACCCTCTGCCATCTTTATTCCGGGAGGATTTGTGTCTCTCTCTATTTCTTTCTCTGAACAACAACAAAAAGATAATCAGCAAGCACATTTATGCTATGTTAATTAACTCTAATCAAAATACATTATAAATTTCATTTTGAATTTAGGAAAATTCTACATACACACACACACACACACACACACACACACTCTCGGTGCCAATACCCACCCATCGCTACCTCTCTGCAAGGACTAAACTGATCTTTACTCCCTTAGTATTTTCTTTCTGCCATTCCAAGACCCAAAAGAAAGACTGTCACTCCTTCTCTACCAACATTGATCATACTTTTTCAAAGCCTAAAATTGTGAATTTGAGAATTTCTGTAGCTAAGGCATATTTTATCATAAAATTACTGACTTGATTTGGTTATAATTTGTCTAAATTTATTTTCTAGGACTCTTTTATTGGGACAACATTGCAAAATATTTAAGCTCTGGCATGTTCAAAAAAATCTGGGACACACTGTTACCTTACACCTTTGGACAAGAAGAGAAGAAAGGAAATTCTAAACCAGTACAGAGAATCATTTACTTCTCATTCTTACAAATTCAAAACTAAAAGTCACTCCGATAGGTTCTAGCTGAACTCAAAGACACCCAAAGAAACAGACAAAAGCCTGGACAAATGTCACCAAGAGCTGCGAGGGCAAGTGTCTGTGTGTGTTTTCAGGCCTCCAAAGGAAAACAGGCTGCTGCATCATTTTACCCCAGACAAACTGGGTGGTCTTCCAGGATGTCTGTGAAAGCACCCTACCGTGGGTCAATCTTGCAAATCACTGTGCAAAGCCCAGAGGTCACAACCTGGGCCTTAACCACCTACGGACACTGGTGCTCCTGCCCCCAACTGTGAACAGACAATCCAGGAGCCCCCACCAAGGGAAGCGCCTCAGGGGCCAAGAATAAGTTCCCTCAACCTCCTGTCCCACAGGCCGCCTTGATATCAGATCTCTTTCCTGCAACCACTTGCCCTCATTCCCAAGGTCTCTCAGGCAGGACAGACACATTGCACACAGACTACGGGGACAAAGAGTCAGATCTCAACTTTGCCCCTGCTGGATGTCTGACCTTGGCCAAGTTATTCAACCTGCAAAACCTTCGTTTCCTCATCTGTGAAATGGGGATAATGAAAACACCACACAGATAATGCATGCAGTGCTCAGCACAGGGGTGTGAGTATGTGCTCACTAGGCAGTAGCTATTCTATCAGCCAAGGGCAAAGAGCAGTGACTTGACTTGGTGAAGCAGAGTTTGTGTATCTTGGAGAAGGAGATGGAAAGGGAACTGTTAACACACAGTCAAACACCCTCCGCTCCACAGCACACCTCCTACTAACCTCCTACTTAGCTAACAAAACCACACGCACACTTCCTGTGGTCAAACTTCTACCTCATCAATACCTCCCTCAGATAAGCATTATCTGCCCTTCAAAGAGCGGGTGGGCCTCCACTGCCCCAGAGCACAATTGATCACCACCATCTATGGATAAATCAGAGTCTAGAAATAGCTGTATCCTGATCAGCTCGGGTGTTCTGTTCTAACCAGGCAGCTAGGGAAACAGCCGCCTTGAGAATTTGTTTGTTTACCCAGAGACGTATCGATCAATGCCACTCTACTCCTCACCCCAATTGACTGAGCACTTTACTAAGTGCTTTATTAATTTCATTCAATCCTAACAATAACCCTATGAGGCCAGGATTACTGTCCCCATTTTACAGATGAGGAAACTGAGGCTCAGAGAGGTTAAGTGACTTCCCAGTCATAGGAAATGGCAGAGCAGGATCTGAACTGAGGTCTGTTCCCAGTGCCTCAATTCATACCCACTACGCTGCAGTGATCTGAAGAGCAACTGGAAGATCTAGCAGCATAAATGTCCCCAATGTCAGCCTCACAGCCTCCACTTGAACTGCTAAAGCTACGAGATCTGCCTCTGGAGCTTTTGCTTGGAGTCACGATTGGACTGTGACCTTGGAGAGCACAAAGCTGTGCCCAACACTCTGGGCTGCCAAAGACAATCATTTCAAAAGAATTCACTGTGAGAAACAATAAACAATTTGGGAGAGATTTCCCACGTGCCTGGTCAGTCCAGAATGAACTGTTTAGACTAAGTCTAGAACCATTGGTCCCCAGGGCCCCACCTCGGCCAGACCGAGGAGCCTGCTCTTCTGTCTTACTGTTTCCACGTTCCCAACTGCTCTCACATCCATCACTCTCTCTGCCGTCAGCCAAGTCCCGTGCTCCCCCAACTCATCTAGCTATTCACCAGTCCCACGGGTCAAATCCTGTGATCCACCGGAAATCAAAATTCTTTCACTGAGTGCCAATTCCTGGAGCCTGAACACTACCAAGGCAGAAAGCAGGTGGGGAGCCACGCAGGGCTGGAAACAGCCTCTCTGGGTCCGGTCATCACTCTGCCCTCCACCCTTCTCAGTCTGGCTCTTAAAGGGCCCCATAGCACCCAAAGGAGAAGTGATGGTCTAATAATTTCCCTGGTGACTTCTGGGGTGAACTAGATAGAGTCTATCTGATATCCCCAGGAAGGCTTCTCATCCCCCAGAGCCAGAAACCCTAAACCAGTGTTTCTCAAACCTGAGTGTGCAGAGAAATCACCTGGGGTGCAGATTTAAGTGTAGATTCGCTGGCCCCACCCCCGGGGGATTTGTCTGGAAGGGAGACAACAGGCATCTGCATTTCCCACCAGCACCCCAGGAGAGGAGGTCGCACACAGGTGGTCCAAGAAAGTTCTCCCAAGGCGCTCCCACCCAAACGCTCCTGGGGGAGGGTCGTTGGAGGGACTGCTTGGAAGTCAGCCTACTTGTGAAATGCCCTGTATACAGCAGGGGCTCAATAATGGGAGCTATGAATGTACTGCTCAGCTGTATAATGTTGCAACATACAGGGGCTTCTTTATTAAAATAGCTTTAAGTGGATGAGGCTGGGAGAAGGGCTCAGGACAGCGTGTAGCAGACCAAGTGACACCTCGAGCCATGAGCCTCCCAGACACTGCGGCGCGAGGCGTGGCTGTAGAGCTCATCCCATCAACTCAATGTGGGCTGCACGTTTGCTGCTCCTTGTTGTCAAGGGAGCAAGACCCGTCATGCGGCTTTTATAAAAATCACTGGTCCTGAATTACTGCTCCTGGAAGGTCTCTGAGCCAGTCCAACAAAATAGAGAAGTCTAACAAAAATACTGCCATCCAGTGCCTTCCAGTTTGCAGAGCTATGAGCCACAGAATGGCTGCTTCACTGCAGTGGGGACCCCAATGTTCATCCCCACAGCTCCAAACGCTGCAACTCCAAGGACCGGCCAAGTGTCCTCCGGGAGAGGGCTCCCCAGTGGTGGAGATGATCAGTTCACAGTGTCCCAGAGAATGGAAATAGGGGGCTGGAGGAGTAAGGCTACCAAACCACTGAAAGGGGTCTTACAAACACATGCACGCTTGGTGTTTCTCCAACTCTGCCTAAGTGGCCTGGTCTGGATTGCCTGTGTGCCTTGGCTGGGCAGGTGTGTCAGCCACGGGAATCTCTGAGTCTGTCTCCACACAACACCTGCCTGTATGAGTAAAGATAAGTATATTTGTACGTGTGTGTGTGTTTGCACGCGAGAGGGGTGGGAAGAGCAAGCAATAGGAGGTAGGAGGCCCAGGCATGTGTCTGTGCCTGCATGTGTGTGTGTAAACACGTCTATTTAGGTGACTCTTGAGCTGAGCCCCAGGGGCTGCTTAAACCCCCTCTCGCTCCAGCCAGAATCCCCATCAATCCCCACACCGTTCCCACTTACAGTCGGCACTTCCTGGGAAGATTATTTCGCTCTGTTTCTGTTGTTTCTCTACTTCTATTTAGGGAAAGCCGGCCCCACCGGTTACTCCTCCCTTTCCTTCTCCACCACCCACTACCTGTGCTTTCTCGCGCTGACTGCTGGGGCCCAGCTGGCTGCTTCCTCTCAGCACTGACGGGGGTGGGAGGGCTGGGCACAGCGCAAACTGGCTCTGAAGCAGCCTTGGAACAAAAGCACCAACTCCCCCACCACACGGGCAGCCCTCTTTTGGACAAAGAGCTTTAGCACATTAGTCACATGAGTTACCCTTCATTTCTCTTTTTTTTCCCCCTACCGGTAACTCCTGCTGCTCTCCATCCAGCACAGCCTGGGGAAAAAGCACAGGCTTCCAAAGGACCAACAAGTTGGGCTGAAACCTGCCGAGGGCACCTACTAACCCTACAGCTTCAGGCAAATAACGCTGCCTCTCTGTGCCTCGGTGTCACCACCTATATAGCATGGGGGGATCACTTCCCACAGTGCTAGGACTGCTGTGAGGATGGGGGATGATGACTGAGGGTCCTCGCAGGCACTCTCCAAGTGGTCACTAACATTATTGGCAGCCGCGTATTTAACTCAGGGAACTGGTGCTCCAAACCCGAAGCTTAGGCGAGGTCGGCTGGGGTCTGCACCATTTTCCCAGCGAGTTAACTGGACACCCTCTAGAGGCAGCAGGCATCACAAAACCAGGCCACTAACCTCTTTGTTGGAAAAGAATGACTTGTCATTTGCTTGGAAGTCAGCCAGTCCTCCACAGATGATCACAGTGGCTTCAGGCATATCAAGTTCAGTGCACCTCATTATTCCTCTCTGAGTTAGATTTCCACTAAGATTATCAAAACCCAAGCTCCCTCCCCTTTCTTACCCTTCTCTTCAAATTCCCGACAAATCACTGAGCAGAGCGGCCTTCTCAGGGGCACTCCTGGGTGAGACAAGGTCCTTGGCTGGGTCTAGGGCTGCTCTCACGCCTGTGGGTACTATTACTGCTTAAGACTCCTGAGGCCCCGACTAAATACTCCCTGACACATACTATCTACAGATTACAACCACTGCCGCACGGTTACCACGCCCTCCAGTGCCTTCAGTCAGAGACTTCCCTACGTGTGGGTGTGTTTTTTCTAAAGAAGCCATGGAGTGCACCCATAAATCTCTAAGGGGCATCCCCCCACCAGAGCTTTTCTGAGGAGGCATTCACTGACATTCCTCGATTAATGTATTAAAAGTCTCAGCTTCTATTATCATTTGCCAGGTACTTTCCACATAGATCCAAAAAGGCACTAAGAGTTCTGCATGCTGTTTTAATTGAAAGTTACAGTCCCTTAAAGTGACCACAAGGGTACTCTGCGGGATCGATTTCTGGGGGTCCCAAAAGGCCCTAAGTGTGATAGTCTGGACACGGGTGTAGACAAAGGAGGCCAGAGACAGTTCCTACTCAGAGTACAGCAAGGTGGCCTCCTCTGTTCATCTCCAGGCACCCACAGAACCCCAAATTCCTACTTCCATCATTGTGGCATGGAGGAGGGGAAGGGTGGCACATTGACAAGAGAATTGCTTTTTCCAGTTGGGTCCAAAGACTTGATATTTTAAAACAGCTGTTTCTGGTATTTTATAATTAATCTGATATGTTTCCCCGCTGGGTGAGATCTCTGATTGCATCTTTATCATCCGAGGCTTTCCGCCTTTCTCAGGACACGGGCTGTGCTGTGTTCCTTTCGGCCTCACTCAGCAACATGCCTTCTGTTCCCCACACTGACGAGAAGGGCTCACCTGAGCTCCTGCACCCGCCTGTCTACATCTCTTTCCCCAGTTTTTAGGAACATAAGAACAACACATGAAAATTTAGAAAATAATGAAAGTTTCAAAAAAACCCCACCAATAATCCTACACTCAGAGACAGACCTGGTCAATATGTCAGCTAACATTCGTCTTATCACAGGAATATATAACTATTATGATGTACAAAGTTTTGACTCTTGTTTTTCATAACACGGCCTCGTGAACATTTTCTCACATCATTGAACAACCTTGAAAACCTTTCTCTTATACTCTTTTACTCCATTCGTATATTTATTTACAAAATACACACTTGAAAAAGACTGAAGGGGTACAGAGAGATAAACCATGAAGGAAAGTTCCCATCAGTGAGCGCCTCATGTCCAGCCCCTCCCTGTGGATGACCACTCCTGGCAGCTCGGAGGATACCCTTCCAGACTTCTTTCTGCGTGTGGACATCCACATGGGCTCGCAAATAAATCAGTCAATTAGATACATATATCTTATTGCTGTTTTACAAAACAAAAAACCACTCTGCATTCAGTTGCTTGTAGGAGGAAGTACCCAGTCAGGGACACACCATGACAATCACCCTTGTTCCGAGCCTGTTCAGGGCTGTGACCCCAGGTGGGCCTTTGGGCTGTGGCTACGTGGGGCCTTTGAATGTGATGCTGAAATGCCAAGGTCATTAATAGCATGAATACAGCCAACGGGTTAGTGACCTCCTACTATGTACTATGTTAAATGCTTTACAAGCATTATCTCATTTAATTTTCTCAATGGCCCTGTCAGAGGGGCATTGCCAAACTCATTTCACAGATGGGGAGTCTCAGTAAGTACAGCACTGCAATTTTACCACCTGCATTCTTAACTAGCCCAGTACCACCTCTTCATTCATTTGTTCCCTCGTTCCTTTACTCACCAAACTTTCTGCAGGTCTCTAACACAGCAGGCCCTGTGAATACCACTGCAGACCTGTTCATTTTGCACAGAGGAGGGGGAATTTGGCCCCATCAAAACCCAGGCTTGTTCACTGGGAAGACCAGTCAGAGAGAAATACGGCGCCAGGCCAATCCCCCCACTTCAGTATATAAGCCTGCCGGCGAACGCACAATGGACAGTGAGTCAGCAGCTTTGGGTGAAAAGCAACAAATTGACACTTTTTTTTTAAACCTTCCTTTGCATTCTTGGTAAAGCTTTGGGAGAACTGTCATCTATGAGAAGTACTTAGAAATGAGAAACATTTCCACTGCAGGGAGAAACTTTAATTTAAAATCAATTGTGAGAAATTAAGGTCATCAACTGTAATGGCAGCTATAAAATGTAAATTGGTGGTGTAGTTACTCCCAACGCATGTTAAATGCTCTTAAAGCTCTGCTTCTCACGCATCACTGGACTGAACTTCCAGCATCAACAATGCTGCCACCCACCCGGAGTCACCAAGTGAGCAGAGACAGCCCAAAGGACCTGCAAGTTTCCCCAGAAAGAAAAGTGGAACAATCAACAGCTTACATACCCTTGTCTGTGCGATTTTTTCGAATGACTTGAATAGTAAGAATATCCAGAATATGTGGATTCGGTATCCATAGCAATGGAGAGCTTGCTCTTGATGAAGGAGCAGGGACCGTTTCTCCTTAGAGGTAGAGAATTTCACCTACAGACTCCTAAAACCTCAAAGGGTCTGGGAATCAAGGAGCCACTCTTCAACAGGAACAAATTCTGGGAAAAGAGGGGAAAAAAAAGATATCAACCTTCTGTGCCAACCTAAAGGGGCTGGAAGACAAATGGCATCAGACACCTCGTCTCTGGGGCCTCTACTACGGACAAGTGAGCCAGGGCGAAGTGTCAGCGCCCTACCTGCTGCACTCACACAGCTATGAGCTTGTCCAGGTGTCTGAGAGGGAGACAGGTAGGTGCCAGGCAAGCCCAACCTCGGCCATAGCAGCGGGGGTGGGGGGACCGGAGGTGGGAGAGGCCTGGCCCTTGGCCATTTCCCAGACACAGCCTCCCCACACAGCTGCAGGCTGGAGGAAGTGGCTCCCCACCCCGACCTGCCCCAGACATGGTGCCCAGCCCCCACTGCTGGTTGGCTGGTTACAAAAACAATAGCCAGGGAAGTAGCTTTTAAGGGATTTGCTCGGAGTTACAAAGACAATTAAAAAACAAATTTCTCAGTCTCTTTCATCCAGGAATCCAAAATCAAAACTAATTTATCTTAGGGAACTAATTTCTTTTTTAAAGAAAAATTATTATCACATTGTCTACAACAGTGAAAAGCTAGAAAGAATCTAAATGCCCCCCAAAACAGAGGAAGAGATAAGGAAAACATAGTTCATCCACCTGAAGAAATATCACACAGCTGTTTAAAATGATAATTATGAAGAATGGAAATTTTTATGATATAACGGTAAATTTAAAAAGTAGGCTATAGGATTGTAGATACACACTGAATCACGATTACAGTTCAAACCATATAAAATCGTTACGTAAGGACAAGGATTAAGAGGAACATCAGCAAATGGAAACAGGTGATTTATTAGTTGCTGGTTCCTGGGTCTTCTCCCACAATTTCATTTGATATTGCTTTGCAATAAAAATAAATTGGAAACATTTCCAAGTACATTCCTGAGCTCCACATGCTAAAGCTTGACTTCTAGAAAACTGAGACCCACAGTTCTGTCTCTCTGCACCCCTCAACCCAGGGCTGGTCTCTGCCCAAAGGGGCTCCTCCTTGCAGTGCCCCTGAAAACTCAAAATGCAAACAGAGCCAGTGAGATAAGTGTGAAGAAAAAACAAAAGAGCCGTAAATGCCATCCCCTACCCCTACTGGGAGGAGGCCAGGCACGTGACCCCAGCAACCCGCTGCCCGTCTGGAGGGACTCGTCTGCAAACCATGGCACACCACCGCAGCCCCCCAGCCTCAAGCTCTGCTCCAGATGCGTTCGCCCTTACCCCTCATTCTGCCTGGATATGAGGTGTGGCACTTCTGTGGTCTGTGGCCCAGGGCGAGCCTCCCTTGTCCCAGATGTCACAGCTCATCATTTCATTCCTCCTCTGCCATCAAGAGCCTGAGGTAAGCAGGGGGGAGACCTGGGCTCTAGCCAGAGCTCCACACTGTCCAGTACAGCCTGGGATAAGCCACTTAACTTCCTAAGCCTCAGTTTCCTCATTTGTCAAACTGGGATAAATCAAGCAGCCACCGTCCTCACAGGAGGCTGGATCTGAAGATGTAAAAATACAATATCTGGAGAGGGGCTCTAATCCCAGGCTTTACCAGCTTATTAGCCTTGTGACCTCAGCTGAATGATTAAACCTCTCTGAACTTGCATCTGTAAAATGTGAATGACAGGCCTGCTATGAGGAACAAATAGGCTACAACTGTGGACGCCCCAGCACCCGCTCCAGGGGCACTGGATAAATGAAAGCTGTGGCTCTCAGTCCTCCTGTTCTGGTTCCAAAACCTGACATCCTCTGTGTCTCTCTCAGTATGAGAAAGCTTGGCGGGGGGGGGGAGCAGCGCAGAGCCGGTGCCTGTGCTCCCTTCCCTCCCAAGCTCACCTGCGGGCAGACAGGACCCACTGGCATCTCAGCCCAGCGCTGGCTAACCTGCTGTGCACGGAGCAAGGCAGCTTCCCCTGGAACTTCAGGTTGCCTCACCAGAAAATGGAAATCAGGCAGCCTAGTTTGTGGGGTGAGCGTAAATATCAAATGTGAAAACAAACAGTGGGCATTTTAAAAAAATATTAGTTTTGCTCTTGGACTACTGCCTCTTTCCCAGAAGACTTCAAGAGCCTGCTCATCTTTTTCCCCCCTCCTCTGCCTCCCACCATTTTCACCTGCCATTTCAATGAGCTGTCAGCACCTTCGAGTCTCACTTCCTTTCTGCTCGGGGCTTTGCTGCTTTTTCATCTGCTTCATACCTGGCAGACACTGACATCAGGAGGTGAGCCAAGATCCCCAGGCCTGTGCAGAAGAAGCCTCTTTCACTGAGGCCCTTCGCCCTGCTCTCTGCTGACCTGCAGATTCTAACACTCGGCTGCATCGCCCAGAAACCCGACTGCCCTCTTCTACGCTCAGAATTAACCCTCCACAACTCCTGCACTTTTTTCTGTCCTCCAACCCATAAGTCTTGATTCCGTCTTCCATCCCAACTTTTAGCTCATTCTGGCTAAAGGCTGCTGGGGTGTCTCAGAGGCAGGTTGCCTAGGCCCTGCGGAGCTGGGCTGATCCCATTCACGCTTCCCGGTCATGACCCCATGGGGCAGATGCTTACTACTCTCAGCTTCCATTTCTCCCCCGTAAAATGAGGCCATTTATGATCTCTTCCTAGGCTTGTTGTGGGCATTAAGCCAGATTCCCTGTGTCAAGCCCCTGGCACATGGTAACCCAAGTTTCAGTCCCTTCACCCTGTGCAGAAGGATGTCACTCTCCGTCCTCATTAAAACCTCCAGCCATCCATTAGACAACTCCAGGCACGTCCCTCAAAGGAAATCATGGGCTCCCAGGTGCCCTTTGGGGGAGGGCTCTACTTAACTCCGTCAGTGCCCTTGTCCTGTTTCTCTCCCACAGTTCCTGCCTACACCTAACAAAGGGTGGTCTGTATGTGCTGCCACTCCCTTCCTCTCGATTGTTGCCCCAATCCTCCATCCTCAACACTCCACTCATGGCCCTAAGTCGGCCAGAGACTGCTATGAGCCAAATCTAAAGGGCACATCCTCGTCCTCCTTCCCTGGACCTTCTTATCCCATTTACTCATTCATCCACCTGCATATTTAGTAAGCAGCTCTGAGAGACCCCGCTAAGCACTGCCAGGGGCACAGCAGTGACACACGGCATACGGCACATACGCACACATACGGAGCTCCTTGGCTGCCAGAGTCCTCCAATCTGAAGGCATGGGTGCTGCTTCTTCTCCAACACGCCCTCCCTTTCCCCATCAAGTTATTCCTGAAGACTCAAAACTCACCTGTATTCTTCTCCATCCAGGGACTTGCTGTAGTGTAAGCTCCTCGGAGACAGGAGCTGTTATTGTTTACCCACCCCCAGGATACACTGAACATAACAGGTACCCAACAAATACTCACTGAGAGAAGGGATCCCCAGTGCACACTCCCACTCAGATGCCTCTTGCTCCACGCGGGATTACCATCCCCCCACAATTGCTCCCCTGGCCTGTTCTTTCCAATTTCCTCCACTGGGGCAATACACTCCTCCTTTCAAGCCTGGAGAGCCAGCCCTGTGCCATTTCCAATACTCTTTCCCTGCTTCATCCCACACATCCTACTGTCTCTAAGTGCCCTCTCTCCTCCAGGACCCTCCCCTCACTCTGCTGGTTCTCAGCCACCCACCTCCTCCAGGCTCCGCGGACGCAGGGTTAAACTCTTACAAAGCCTGCAGGTTTCCCCGTGAATCCACTCTACACAGAGCTCGGGCCCCTTCTTCTGAGTCATGCTTATTGTTATCACAGCCATCAACTCTTGTCCAAGATCTGAGTGGGGATTAAGAAGAAGCAACAGGAGGCAAACCAACAAAATCCAGAGTGAACGCATCTTAAAAGCTAACCTTCGACAGAGTTAACAGAAAAACTTATCCTCAAGCTTATCGCTGCAATGATATATTTATGACATAGTTCCCTTGCATGCACAAGAAATTAGCAGAACTCAGATGAGGTCAGAGGGATGTCTTATCAGGAAGATAATAAAGTAATGAAAAGCATCAGGTTCCCTGGGCAATAAACTGATAGGTTGCTGCCTGGCCTGAACGGGACAGTCACATAACGGTGTGAATGTGGATCCTGGAATCTAGAACTGTCCCTCTATCTTACTGAACCCTGACATGACCCACACTGTGCGTGGCCCCGGCTGGGCAGCAGCCAGAGCGATGTTTCAAGTCACAATGTGGATGTCACTTCCCTACCTAACACTCTTCCACGGTGTCCCAATGCACTCTGAATAACACACAGAATCTTTCACTTGGTCTGCAAGGCCCTGCCACCTCTGCAGCTCTGCTCTCCTTCTCCAGCTCCAGGTCCTCTAAGGCACCAGCTCTTCGCAGCCTCGGGGTTGTGGAGCTCCAGGCAGAGCCCATACATCTGCTGGTACTCACTCTTTACACTCAATTCCTACTCCGCCCTCGCAATGTAACTACTGCTTCTTTCAAGAGGCCCTTCCTCATCCTGGCGTCTCCATTGGGCCCTTTTGTGGCACCATGTAGTCTCCCTTTATATCACACTTATTGTGTGATTACTGACCGGCTCCTGTGCAGACAGTAAGCCCCGTGAGGGCAGGGACTACCTTCATACTGTCCCTCCAGCTCCTAGAACAAGGGTTTTTGTGGCAGCCTCGGGACATGGAGGGCAGAGGTCCACTGTAGAAGAAACCTTAGAGATTGTCTATTTAAATCCTCAGTTTTATTGGAGAGGAAAAATAGGCAGCGATTAGACTGAGCAGGGATCTCAGCACCAGCAAGAGTGGAGCTGCCTGGCTGCTCGCCCGAGTCACACAGAGCCGCAAAGCCGATATTGCAGACACAGTGAGTGAAAGTCGGCAGCAGTCTCTTCCAGCTGCTATCCGAGGACCCCCTGACCAGCTGCCCTCCCGTCCTTTATGTCTTAGAGCTACAGGCACTGCCCGGGTGGGAGCTGGAGGCAAACACCAGGACAGGGCTGGAGCTCATCAAATCACCTCTCCTGACGGCCAGTGGGAGTGTTGAGACAGGTGCACAGGGCACTTGAGCGGCGTCTTAAATTCTGGAATTCCCAGGCAAAGACGTCAGAGAGCACCTCCCTTACGGTCCTTTAGTAAAAGTAAAGCAAAGATCAATGGCCTCAGAGGGAATCTTCCCCTCAAGTCATGTTCACTCACATAAAATATGCCTGACTACTACTTAAAAGAAAAACACGGTGTTGAGAAAATCATGAGGGAAATAATACGTTACGGTAATGACCATGGTAAACAGAAGCTAACCTTCACGAAAAGGAAATGATAAAAACATCAACAGCTCTGCCTGGAGCTGTTAAGTAATTAAGTGAACTCTAGTCTGGAGGGTGGAAGGTTCCCTAGCAAGGGGCACTGAGATACTGAATTTAAACAGCCAGTCCTCTCCTTCTGCTGTGGATGTATTTCCAAGGGAAAGAAATTTCTGGCGCAACTGTGTTTATACATACTGCATACAATTACTCTGAATATTTGATTTTTATCATACATATGATTCTAAAGGGTTTACTCCATTTATTATTATTATTTCGAAGCTAACCTTTATCTCAAGGCACCCATTTTTAATTGTATGGCACTCAAGGGGAAAATAACAATTTAAAGATTTTTTTTTTCCTTTTTCTCCCCAAAGCCCTCCGGTACATAGTTGTGCATTTTTAGTTGTGGGTCCTTCTAGTTGTGGCATGTGGGATGCTGCCTCCCCACGGCTTGACGAGCGGTGCCATGTCCGAGCCCAGGATTTGAACTGGCGAAACCCTGGGCTGCCGAAGCAGAGCGCGCAAACTTAACCACTCGGCCACAGGGCCAGCCCCGACAATTTAAATAATATTGTTTAGAGTCAACTTTTTCCTCTACAGAGGAGAAGCAATGAGCACAGTTCTGCAGTTAGACCAGCACTCTTCAAATCCTGGCTGCAGTACTTATCAGCTGTGTGACCTCAGATCAAGCTGCTTCACTTTTCTGTGCCTGCTTCCCTAACTATAACAACAGAATTATATTTTACTTACCTCCTAGGCTCACGGTAGGTATCAAATAAGATAATTTGTAATCATTTAGAACAATGCCTAGCAAACGGTAAGCACAACCATTGGGCTAATATTATTATTATTCAGTAAAGTAAAATTTCTTCAGTTAGGAAGAATACTTGTCCATGGCACATGACACGTGTCATTTTCCTTGAACTTATACACATTGTTTCGGTCTATCCCAGTCTCCCTCTAACGAACGCCATTAACTGCAGCTAAATGAGTGAGTGATTTCCATTCTATTCCTTGCAGGCCTCCTTTTACTGTTCCCAGGTCGGAAGTGAGTATCAGAGAGATCAGAGAAAACAGTGTGTGTTTTATTGGGTTTATTTGGAGGACCCCGGGGTTATAAGGAAGGGTGGGAGGAAGTATGGCAAAGTCTGCAGAGCATTTTGCAGATCTTGTGGTCTATAAACCATAAAACATCATCCAGGTCACTGATGTGAAGCTCAGAGGGCTTGTGGCATCTGTGACAAACCCAATGATTGTTTCACTACAACAGAGCTCTTATAAATGAATGATTCTGGGCCACTATTCACAAGGAAAGAAAAGGTCAACCTCATTTGACCCGTCCTGCCAATGATTTCAACTCACCTTCCCAGAACAAGTGCTCTTGGCTCCAGTCATTAAGTCCCTCTGAAACACCTCCAGCAGCTGGGTACAGATTCTGAAGAGGTGAGAATGGTTAATGTTGCTGGGGTACTAGGATGTATATTTGTTTTCAAGTGACCCCCTTGTTCCAGGCTGGATCTTAACTTTAGAAAAATAGATTTCACAAGCACGACCTCCTCTGTAAATCCCATGGTGCTGGGTCCAATGACTGCTGTCCAATAAGTGGGATTCAGAAGGACACTGATGGAGACAGCAGCAGAGGACACATGCACCTTGTCATCAGGCTTCAGGTGAGACCAAAGCCACAAGGAGAAACACAGTCCAGCCTCCAGCCCACTTAATCCTGTCTTGTCCACCTTCTGGAAAATGGCATAGTACAACGCCCAAAACACATGCCACACACAGCTGGTCCCCCAACCACAGCTAATTGACTTTACAGAGAGAGGATGACCCTAATAATCTAAGAGCTTACAGTTTTTGAGCGCTTACTATGCGTCAGGCACTGTTTTAAGTCATTTGCATGTAATATCTTAACCTCAAAACAAGCCTTAACAGGGAGATAAAATATTAATTTCACATTAAAGTTAAGGAAGCCAAGGTCACACACCTGGTAAATGGTGGAGCCAGGGCTTGAACTCGGAAAGTCTAATTCCAGAACCTGTGCTCTTAGCTAGGAAAATTTATAGCAATGTAGCAATTATGAGAATTGTTTATTTACAGAGAGGAGGGTAGGCAACAATCATAAATTGTTCCAAACCACACATAATCCACAAAGAATTCTGCAAGTTCAACTCCTACTCACAGGTTCAGTGTCCCAAGCACTGTTGGGAGTCCGGGAGAAAAGAAACAAATCTGAAATAGTTCTAGCTCCTAAGGAGCTGAAGCCGAAGGGTGGAAACTGGCTCTTAAAATAAAATGTGAGAAGGACTCATGCACCCCAAATGCCACTGTTGCTTGGTAAAGAAACTTTCCTGTGTGGTTTTGTCCCGTTGCTCAAATACATAAGACAACGAATTTTACTTCTCCCATTTTACTTACAAATTAAGTTGCAACCAAGTCAATACCACCAACACTCTGGGAATTTCACACAAGATGTTTTCCCTAATTATACTGAGGGACACCAACGTTTGGGAATGCTAAACACTCACAGATAGGTGAAGAGTGTTATTTCTTTGAACTGTAGAATAAAACAGTTTCCTCCCACAAATCAAAGTTCCAACTATATCACATTGATTTAATTCAACTCTAAAAACTCTAATTAGTGGTTACATCAAATGACTAATTACGTCTCCCTGAATTCAGACAGTTTCTGCCACCTCGCCTAAAGAGCCCAAGAGCTTTGTAATCAAACAACCCACCCACTGGAAGGAGAATGCTAATTAGCGTTGTTGATTGGTGACACAAGTTAGAATATTTTCCAGCAACCCTATAAAATTTATAAACATATCAGTGAAAATGCCAGATTCTTTACAGCTTGCTAGCTTTTGGAATAAGTGTCTAAAAATACGTGCATTTTCCAACCACAGCCCCGTCAAAAGGGTTTAACAAAATGCACGTGCCAGTCACACAATCATCATCATAAGGTGCTCTCACATCTCTTAACGAGCAGCTGAACGAGCTCACACCACCTTCGCGGCCTGGGCAGATACCTGGTTTGAAAATGTGCAAACTGGGCCACACACTTCTCGCCTCCGAATCTCGCTAGCTCATCTCCAGGCCGCCAGGCCGCGGCTCCGCCCCACTCCTGCCTCCACCAGCGACGCGTTTAAATTTTTATAAAGCTTCACACTTCTCTGGGCGCGTTGCTTGGGGCAGTTCAAAGACTGCAGGAGGAAATGAGGTCCTGCCCATGGCGAAGGCTGCCCCGGCGCGGTGAGACCTCCTCCAAGCGGGATACCTCGGGCAGAGACTTGCCGGCCGCTTCTGCTCCACCCCGGCGTTTTTGAAAGTAAACTCCTACCTGCCTGTTGCGCTCTCCGAGGCGCAATCGGACTCGCCCCCCAGGCCCGGCTCAATTTTATAAGCGGGGTGTGAACACAGGCCATCTCTGTGCCGGTTTCTGGCCCAGGGCCGGGGCCCCGGGCGCTGGCGGTTAGGGGTCGAGCCCGCGGCGGCTGGGCACACGGTGCGCGCCCGGCTCCCGGGGAGCGCAGGGCTGCCCGGCCCCCGCCCGCACGGCCGCTCCAGCCGCCCGGGGCTCCGGGAATGCTCGGCCACTCCCTGCCGGCCAGCCGGAACACGCACCCCGAGGGGCGCACCCCAAAGTGCAGCCGGGGAAGAAGGGGGCGTCCGAGGCGTAGGGGAATGCCGGGACCCGAGGAATGGGGTGCGGCAGGGAGAGCGGCGCAGGGCAGCAGGGGCGCACCTCGCGGGATGGGAGAGGAGTGGGATCTCGAGAGCAGGACACCGGGCGCGGTCCGGAGCAGGGGGGCTCCGGGCGAGCGGCGGGAGGAGGCGGTGCCCCCGGGTCTGAGTCCGGGGCGGGGGTGCGGGAGGAGGGCTCAGGGGCTCGCAGGGTCCCGGGTAGGGGCGTCTCCCCGGGAAGGGCTGCCCGCCGCCCGCCGCACCCGGCCCCCGCGGGACTCACCTCCGCGCCGGCCGTGCGGGCTCGGCGGCCCGCGGTGTCGGCTCTCGGCGGCCCCGGCTCTGCGGCCTGCGCTGGGCTCCGGTACAGGCAGAGCCCCGCCGCCGCCGCCGCTGCACTGCTGCTTTCCGCTTCCTGTCCCGGCGCCGCCCCGCAGCCCGAGCCCAGCCCTGCGAGCCCGGCGCGGCCGCGAGCCAAGAGCAGCGAGCGCGGCCGCCCCGCGAGGGCCCGGCCCACCTGCCGCGGAGGGCGGGGCCGGCGGCGTCTCCCACCCGTGGGCGCTCCGCGCAGCGGGCACGCGCGCGTGCACACTCATACACACACAGACTCCAGGGACTGGCCTCACACACACACACACACACACGCACTCTCTCTCACTCACACACACATCATAAACACATGGCCAGGGATTGACCCCCACCCCACAGCCCAACGTACTTGCCACCTCAGGCTTACACACATACACACACATACTCACAATCATGCACGAAATCCAAGCCCGTTTGCCCTCCCCGGAGCCCCAACAAACATTCACACGGCCCAGAGACTAACCCCCTCGCCAGCCCACAGACACTCATATACACCCCTTCTAAGAACTGACCCACAAATATCCATATACAACCACACTTCAACCCATATACACACTCCCACTTAAACTCACATGTGGCCAAGGAAATGACCACATTAATAACCACACACACTCCAGCCCCTTACAGGCCCCTATAGCCAACCCTCTCCCCCCTTTTCTCCCCCCAGAGCAGTCACTGGCCCCCAACCTGGGCCTCCTAGAAACTGCTGGAAGAGCACATATCTGAAGGGAGGGAGCCCAGGTTCCAATCCTGATTCACCCAGGTCTGCTTCCTCTCTAAGTCTCTTTCCCTGTCTGAAAAGTGGAGAGGATGTTAATGCCAACCTTGCAGGATTGTAGGAGGATTATGGAAAGTGGCTGGTGTCCGTAGGCACTGAACAGTTGTCGACTGTTTGTATGAATATTTGCACTCTCTTACTTGGTTATCTTGTGTGGATGGGGTTAGGGACCCATGTGGAGAGTGGAATCTGGCTGGGACCCAAAGCTGCTTACATGACAGTTCTGGAGAAGAGACAGTGTATAATGAAGTACTGTGTGCTGTGGGCAGTTGGGGTGGGGAAACACACCCACCCTGAACTAGCCTTACTTAGGGAGCTTGAGCCCCCAAAGCCCTCACTCTGCCCTCCCTGCCTCTTCCCCCCTTCCTCTAGACCCCATTGTCTCTCTCCCATATATTGCACTTCTTTAGAGGACATCATATGTTCAATATAGCCAGTCTTTATCTCTCCCCAGCCCTCCACCAGGCTTCACTGCTCCCTCTGGCAGCCCAGGACAGCTGCCCCTCTCCCTCACCAACGTCTCACCTTGTCTTCAGGGGGCAGGTGCTACTGACTCAAGCAGCCAGCTTCTTAAGGGGAAAGCCAGGGGTCTATCCACTTGAATCGGTGCTCTGGTGCAGAAATGTAGAGCTTTATATAAACGTTTTCTTTCATCTTTAAAATGTAAACCCATCAAAGTTACAATGGGCCAGGGATTTCCAATTCTAGCTCTGCTGCTCTTGAACAGCCCCCATGAGGTATACAGCTCCTCCATGAATGTTCAGGGAAAGTGATTCTAATTCACTTGAGTTTGTTAAGTCTAGCTGCCTTACCATGGGGTGCTTTTGTGGGAAAGAGGGGTTGTGCAAAATAAACTCCATTTTAAGATAATAAATTCACCTTTAAATGTCATCTACTGCTGGTTTTGATCCAACATTCTCAAGTATTCCAGTTTAAAAGGTAAGAGTTGGACAGCTTCTCAGGACCTGAGTGATGGTCTGTATGACCTGGAGGCCTGCCCTGGCTCCCACTGTCTGTCGCGAATTGGGTCAGCCTCACTCTAGGGCTCAGCTGGCAGGCTTATTCAGCTCTTGCCTAAAGTCCTGTTCTCCAGCTTAACCTTACTTACTCAAGAATAAAGGTAATATTGTGGGCTCCATCTGCCACTCCTTTGTCTCACTTATCCATTTGTTCCAAACTCAACTAGGGAAGTAGGATACTATGTAGTGGGGTTTGCTTTTAGGACTCCAGCATGACTGTATGTTCCACAAATTCATGCAGATATTTCTCCCTTTCTGCTCGTTCTCACAGCTTTCCCAAACCTTGGAATGCTACCCACTAAAATTCTTCCTGGCTACCAAGATCCAACTCAAACACCATCTCTTACACAAAGCCTTCCCCAGTTCTCCCAACCAGAAAACATTCTCTTCCCCCATTTCATTCCCATAGCTCTCTGGGTTTTTATGTTTACCTTCTTACCTCACATTGGTGATTTGCACCTCACTCTTCAACAATGTATAAATGCCTGGTCTTATTTATCTTTTTTCTATCACAGACCTTTCCACATAGTAGTTGTTTTAAAAAATACTTAGCAAATGAATGAATAATTATACAATACCACTTGACCTTGGGAAGTTAATAAGCTAACCAGGGAACAATCTAATTGAAAATTTATGACATATGCACATAAAGATAGTTAACAATAAAGAGAATATATAAAACGTGAAATGCCCTAAAGGCACACTTTTTAAGAAGTCACTTATCCAGCCTCAAGAAATCTGCATACACCTGTAAAACAGTTAAGCAAAAAAGGCCTTTGATCAACAAAATAGAGTATACAAAAATCCATGCTTTAAATCGGATAGACTTTGTAAATGTAAGAATCTCTCATACACTCAGTGACTATTTATACTTAGTTTACAAACATTTCTCAGCAGCTTCATCATCTGATTCCTAAGCCCACTGTAGATTAGAAACACATTAAAAGAGAGACAGGAGGTGACTTCAGGAGACCCCAGGGACTGCAAAGTGGTCATTGTGAAGATTGTTTAATTCCAAATCTCATGCTCTTTCCTTTTCCCAGTTATTCCTCCTGGCACACTGTCACATTACAGAACAATAGTGTCCGTAGTGATGACTCTGAGTTATAAAGGTTAGATGGAGAGCCTATATACAATACCTTATTTAAGAAGTCAAGGAAGATGTGAAAAAAATTTAAAAAAAATTTCCATCCAGAATGTTTGAAGTGTTAAAAAGCGCTGATTCTTTAAAGGGCCATTTTCGTAAAATCCACCCATGTGTATTATCTGTTTATATGTTAATAATGCCGGAGTGGGGTGCTAAAATATGGGTTATTAGTGCCCAAGGAGAGAGTCACACTGGCCTGGATGGTCAGGGTCACCTTGTGTCCTCACTCTGAGGAAAGAAAGAAGTGGAATAGGCATGGGTGGAGGACAGTAGCTGGAACAGGGACTGGCTTGTCTCAAGTGCTGAATAAATGTGAATGGAATAGATGGGTAAACAGTATTCCTGTTTGGAGTATGGGCAGGGGTGTGGAGAGAGCCCTGTCTGGGATCTAGTCAAGGGCAGCGAGCAGAGCAGTTTGGCTCAAGATAAGGCCTCGTGCTGAGACAGAGGATTCAAAGCTGAGTGGCCCGGATTAGAAGATAGAGAACTCTCAACCCAGCACTAGTGTTTGAACTTTCTTAAACAGGCTGGCAAAGTGACAAAGTATTCATTCATCCTTTCATTGATTCAAAAACTTACACTCAGTACCTACTGAGAGCCAGGCAATGTAACTACTAGGGATACAAAGCTAGATAATGTAACATTGATCCTGAGTCAACAATTTAGTCAACAAATATTTATTGAGCAGCTGCTATGTGCCAGTCTCTATTCTAGGCTCTAAGGATACATCATAACAGACAACAGCTTCTGCCCTCATAGAGTTTAAATTCTAGTGGGGAGTTTAAATTCTAATGTGTACTGTGTCAGATGGCGACAAGTGCTAAGGAGAAGACAGCAGGATAGAGGTTGCAGAGTGGGGCTCTGTCCCTTACTCTCCAGGGAGGCTCGGGCAGCTGGACGAGACTGCTACTTGAACAAAGCCTTGTGCTGGGATATGAGAGTGCTGTGACTGAGACCAGAGGCAGGACAGCGACGCTGTGGGAGCACGGGGAAAGAAGGGCCAGCCTAGCCTGCAGAAGCACACGGCTTCACCCGGCCATGACCCTGGGAACAGAACTCGAAGGATGGGTATTTGGCAGATAAAGAGGGAGGAAACATTCTGAGCAAAGGCACAGAAGTGTGACAGAGGATGTCCAGGAAGCCTTATCTGCCGGCGGTGTGCAGTGCTGGCGGAGAGTTGGGGCAGGGGTGTTCGCAGGAGGCTGTGTGGAGCCGCAGGTCTGCTGGGATGGACAAGACTGGTGCTGGTGTCCTGGGGAAGGACAGGAAGTCACAGTGATGAAGCAGCATGGCTCCTCAGGGCGCCTGGGGCAGTCTGGCCCTGGAGAGCAGGAGGGTGGAAGCAGGGCTGGGATGGGTGGGAGAGGGGTGGGCAGGACCTGGAAGAGAGGGGCAGAGGCCAGAGCTCAGAGGGCTTTATATGGTGGGCTTAGGAGTTTGGGTTTTATCTGGTGGGCGATAGGGAGCCGTTGAAGGGTTTTTATGGAGAGGAATAAGATGGGCTGACTTTGCAGTGTGGAGCATGGCTTCCTGAGGAAAGCGTGAAGGCAGGGAGACCAGAAAGGAGGCTGGTGAGACACAGGCAAGCTGAAGTGATGAATGGACCTGAGTTACTGCAGCCGACTGCAGCGGTCCTAGGCAAATCTCAATCACAGGTGGGAATCTCAATCCAGGGGGAAGGAGAAGTTCAAGGAGAAAAGGTATGTTTAGTTTTAGGCATGCTGAGGGTAAGCACCTTTGGGATGTGCAGGTGCAAACAGTAATAGGTGACATTTATTAAAGCATTTATGATATGCCAGGCACCATGCTGAGTGTTTTACAGGTCTTACTTATTCCTCACTACGACCCGCATTGTAGGTATTACATCATCTTATTTTTTTGTATCCCTACATTTTATGGAGAAGGAAACTCAGGCATAGTCATGCTGAATAAATTGCTGGAGATCACATGGCTGTTAACTGGTAGAATCAGGCTTTGAACCCAGGTTGGCTGACCACAGATTCCTCATCTTTAGTCCATAACCTATACTGTTTTTTGGCAGTGTGGGTTTAAAACTAGGGAGGAGATAGGTAGTGACAATGAATATAGTTTTTGGAGATC